ATGGGTACCATAGAAAAAGCTGGAGAAGTGGGCAGAAATAGGATCTTTTTCGCCCAATGCGCTTACTCCATTCGCAGGGTCGCTATGTTGTTCTATTCAGGGCATCTCCTGTTGTAGCCCTGACTTCACTTAGGTTCTTCGATACATCTCTCCACCTCTTCTTTGGGGCTCCTCGCGGTCGCTTGCCTTGCACTTCGAAGTCCATCGCTGTTCTTATCGGATGATCCTGTGGCCTCCTTAGCACATGCCCATACCATCGTAGACGCTGTTCCCGTACCTTCAGCTGGACAGGGGCAGTCTGCATGATCGCTGTGGCATCCTGTCTCGCGGACATAATTCCCCACTGGCAAGCATTTGTTGCTGTATAGTATCGCACGCCTTACCACCAGGGTCAACCGTCACGTTCGAACATTTTCGGGATTTTTGCGACCCCCTAGCTCTCGAGGGGGTCCAGTTGCGACCCCCTGTTTTTGTTAATAAGAGTGCTAGACATGAATCCGTTGCGCCAGAAAGCGTCTGCGCGTCGTCGCGTCGGCCTTGGAGCGCGGCAGGTATCACCCGGGCGCTGGAAGAACGGGACGCGGCGAAGAAAAAATTTTAGAGGGGAATAACTTTCTTGGGACGTATTTTTTGACTTGTTGAGGTAGATTTTGATTGTGCCTGAGGTGCGCTTCCAGAAAACTACAAGGATTGCCTAACTCTCCGGAAAGTACTTCTGTTAGAAGTGGAAAACCCAAAATTCTAAGAAGGCGCACCTTCAACTTTGAAGGCCCATAAAATCTTTCGTATGCGACATTTTGGAAATCTGTAAAAAGTTTCAGAAACTTCAAATATTTCTCTAACAAAATAGTATAAAAAGTTTAGTGATTGTCCCCTTTTTCAAAAAATTGTCCCGTTCGAACATTTTTCGTGCAAAAGCGAGTTTTTGGGCTTTCAGCGACCATAACTCACTTCATTTTCATTTCTGTGATGCACTTTTTTCATGGGGTGAAAGTACAGGATTTGCTCTTTCTAACAAGCACCAAACCGTTTTTCAAAGTTCATTTTTCGAGAAAATCACACGTTCGAACATTTTGGGGGGTTTTGCCGAACACTTTTTTTGAAATCGCGAGTTTTTGGGCTTTAAGCGGGCATAACTCACTTCATTTTCACTTCTGAGATGCACTTTTTTCATGGGGTGAAAGTACAGGATTTGCTCTTTCTGACAAGCACCTGAACCGTTTTTCAAAATCCATTTTTCGAGAAAATCACACGTTCGAACATTTTGGGGGGTTTTGCCGAACACTTTTTTTGAAATCGCGAGTTTTTGGGCTTTAAGCGGGCATAACTCACTTCATTTTCACTTCTGAGATGCACTTTTTTCATGGGGTGAAAACAGGATTTGCTCTTTCTGACAAGCACCAAACCGTTTTTCAAAATCCATTTTCCGAGAAAATCACACGTTCGAACATTTTGTTTCCCATAGGTTTTTGAGCAGCACATGCGAGTTTTTGAGCTTTCAGCAATAATAACTTCCTTCAAAGAACTTGTTGGGGAGGGGCGAAGACATTTTTGAAGACTACGAGATTTCTGCTTTCTTATGTGTTTTACCGTTGTCTGGAAGAATCGTCCTCAGAAAATCAGGTCCCGAAGAACTTTAATTTCAGCCCCGAGAAGTCAAACCTTTCATAGGGATGCATTCAACTGTTCTTTATTCCTCAAGGAAAACACCGTAATTTGCCTAAAACTGTCTCTCTGTGCATAATTAATCGAATCTAATGCGGTCTGCACAAACAATTCTTGCCCTCGGATACGCCACGCACGCGCCTGTGGCTGGCAGTCCTCGAAATTGCGACCCCCTTCCGACCAAAATGCGACCCCTTCGTTCGAACAGTTCGAACGGACGGTTGACCCTGCTTACCACCTTAACGTGCCTTCCCTTTGAGCCTTCTAGGGCACCTTCGATCGCTTAAGATTCCATTGAAGTCCATCCATTTCACAGTGCAACACGCTTTTCGATGCTTTATCCATGGCCATCCACGACCTTCTCAGTGCACTCTTTAGAGATGAGTGGTAAAGCCACTGTTTCCATATGATTAAACCACAACTTCGAGGTTTTCGGCACGCAAAAATTAACAAGATTGTGGTGTATCCAAGTTCTGGTATAAAATCATTAAATTCTACAAGGGGTAAGGCAGAATTCAATCGTTCTGGACGAGTATGCGTTGTTCTGTGACACTACGAGAAATATTATGATTTTGCACGTTAGGATTCGCAAGCACTTGAATGCTTAATTCGCTTGAACGCACGAGAAGTGGGGTGAAGGAGACCTGAGACGTGTTGAAAGCATGTTGCTATCCTAAGCACCTTTCCACTTCATCTATTCGTTTGGAGAGACGTTCCAACAGGGATGGACTCCCAATCTCCAAGAGTGAATAGTAGACATGGTGGCCGTCGGAGGCGATTCTGTAGACATCATTCAGCTTTACCACACCTCGGCTCCCCCACTTTCTTCACGATTTGGGGCGCGGCCGCGGCAAACCCGCGGCGTTCGCGGCCGAGTAGTGCGGCATCAGCTTGCCTGAGTATTCGACGTTACATTACGTGTCGTTACGATCGGATGAACTAATGTAACGTCGAATACTCAGGCAAGCTGATGCCGCACTACTCGGCCGCGAACACCGCGGGTTTGCCGCGGCCGCGCCCCAAATCGGTCGACAAAAAGGTTAGGGGAGCCGCCCATATTAAAAAGATCCTCATGCTTTTGAAATCCTATGTAAATAGCAGCGGAGGACATTCGTTCATGCTTGAACTGTGGATGCTACTGCATTTTTATTTCTTTTCCTTGAGCATCGCTCCCTCCAGGCGACTCGACAACGTTGTCGCTATAATTTTGACGCATCCTGTATGGTAACCATTCGTTGAAGCTGATTTACGCTGAAAAAGTGGCGCTAATTGTAACTAAATGGGAGAGGAAGTCTATCGGAGAGTGACTGAAGCAGAAACCAACGAACGGCTTGAGATTCGAGAAATGGAAACCCTTTCCTTGCCGCTGTCTTTCCGCATATATCAATTAAAGAAAAGAAGCAACCTTTATAACGGAATAATAAAATGTTCCTCCGTCCTCACACCCAAACCTATATTTCGTCAATCCCGAAGCTCATAGTGTTATTGGGATGGCGTAATAAAGAAGCTCGCATCGCTGCGTCCTCTTCAACGCTAACCCTCTCTCTGCCATCTAATCACTCGCCGCTGGAGACCTGCGACAAGTGTTAGATAGTCGGTGGCGTCCCAGATCAGTTGGACCGTGCGGAAGGCCACGCTTATGCGCGGGCATGTTCTTATTGACTAGATGATTAACACACGTTGACGACAACGCGTGTTTTGGGCTTTTGCACCGCGTGGGACCAGAGCGATTTTGCAGGCGCCGCCGCTTCACATAAAATCCGTGAATTCTGAGCTTTAACTATGCAAAAACCCGGATGCAACAAAATGTTTCGAATGATATTTGATGTATCAAACTTAGAAAACAACTGTAAAAGTTCAATCGAATGGACGTTTTCTGGCAATGAAAAGGCAATTTTCGGTAGCTCTTGCTGTAGTGGACCTCAAAATTATTTTTGACTCGGTTGCTCCACTAAAAACTTATATCTTGCTATATGTGTAGGTCTATACTTGCTTTTACTACTCTTTTTTATGACCAAGGTTGTCAGAATATAAAGAAAACTAGGAATGAACACAATTGGGAAATTCGTAGGACTTGGAAAACCTTCGCTAAAAAGGAGCATATTCAACCATTCGATGAACCTTGCCGTGTCTAGTCATGTTATGGGTGTACTGATTAATGCAAAACTAAGAAAGACGTACGCATCTGCGCGAAAAAATTCATCATTTGTCCGCATTGCGCTGACACGGTCCACACGGTCTCAAGCTGTGATGCGCATGGCGCTGCAGCATGTCGTCACTAAGTGTTATTTCACTTTCTCGACTTCTTTCTTATCTTAACTCATCCAAATAAAGAAGTTAGGGCACTACTGCCTCATATAAGGAAGTATTATATTTCATTTCATCTCGCTGCAGTTACTTTTGAGATCCCTGCGTAGCGAGCGGAGTCGAACTGGGAGGTAAATTTAGTAATCTTTTAGTCAGGGAAAAATATCAAATATAGGCCCACCTAGCCTATACCGTCTTTTCTTTCTCTAGATTAGATGTGACTCTGAAAAACAGCGAGTTGTCCACAGGTGACCGAAGGAAAGTTCCAATTAAAACGCACGTTGTACTACGCTTGAAATTCCGCGACTTTACCTTGAAAGTTTCGTAGGATCCTATCAGGTGAGTTTCCAGATCAAAAATCTTGAAATCTCTTTGGTGCCTAAGGCAGGCAAAGCAAAGTCAGTTAATTCAGTTTCACTGGCACCGATTACGATCACCCATGTTCTACAGGGTGCACCAACATTGCTTGCTCAAAGCTACAGCGTTTGTTCCATCGACATTTAGAGGCTATAAGCGAGCAATCGGTGATCAGCCTTTTAGCTGCCACCTCTTCTATCAGTGCTATATCCTAGTTCTCAGTGTCTATGCTTTTCAAGACACTTGACGTTTATTTTCTCTCTATTGCGCGGACACTCAGTAGAGTGTCTAGTCCCTGGCGAAAATCAATATCCGAAACACTACCTATTGCGCAGAAGAATTGAAATTTCGGTCATCAATGATAATAGACGTGGCAGCTAGAAATGCCAGCGAGAATGATACGCCAGCACAGCTGCAACTTCTACGTGAATGTTGAAGGGGTCCGAGACATAGTGCGGCCAATCCGACGACGTCACTAAGAACATAGCCACTTCAAAAGCACATGCGTCACGCATCAGCAAACGGCAGCTTGAATCTGTCGTAGATCACATAAAACTGACAAGTAATTGTTATGATAATAACAGCACAAACAATTTCTAGCTGTGAAAAATACAAAGAGCTGCGATCAGCAATACGCTACATCTCGAGATTTTTCCAGAGCGAAAGTGACAATGAGGTAAGCATTCCACCGTGTAAGCCGCTCCGTGTCATATCGAACGAGCGTTATTTTCGGATGACGAAGATGTTCAGATAAGAAATTCGGTTACTCTATACACATTTTTCAGTGCCATAATAGCGTTAAATGAGTACGACAAGTACAAGGAGAGGAATGTCAATTGCCTGGTCTTCTTTTCCGCGAAGTAGGTTCTCTGATGTCTTTCACATCAATTAAACAGTCCTATAAGGTCACGCAGTATGAAGCGAACTTGGTGAAATTGAGCTTATCCAGGCAAAAAACGCTAAGCTGCTCGCTTGACACCGACATTGATGACAATGATCCGACTATATTGTTGCTATTGGTTTCAACTGTGAGTGAGTGGCGAGCATCGGTGATTCCAGTTCTAGTTAGCTCATCAGGTTGCTCTTTTTCATTTTAGCGACAAATTTGGAAGGGATTGTTAAACAAGGAGGAACTGCAATCAGTGTTCCTTAACAATTTACGAGGAGAAGTACGCATTTGTCGTTTAAAGCCATGAAGCAAAGAATCGCTAAATTGGTATTTGCGCTATGTTCTTTCCTTATCCTTAACATAATGTGGGCCGCAACACACAGTGTTTTTTTTTTACCTGTCTTGAAAATTCCTGCCTGATGAGAACAATTATTAGATCCTGAACAAACATAAATTTTGAAGTACAACAGTGATTAAATTGTCCATTGAATGAAACAGATTGCTTAGCTTTTTGAAACGCATCATCTCGGAAAGAGGAGATTTTTTGAGTGCAATTCACTATAATGCATGTTAAACAGAGTGAGGAAATACGTAACAATATTTTGAAATTTTCTGGAGCAAACTGCGCATTGTTGGGGTTAGTTGAATGGTACGCCTCACGTTCTCTAAATGAGTTTGAATGGAACGCGCAGAGCATCCTTGGTGTAAGAATACATAGAAGCGGCATCAAGGAGGCACAGTTGGCCTGGTGCGTCTTCGCATTGCGTCGCTACTTCCGAAAAGCAATAAGCAGGTGTTCAAACGGGCTGGCAGACTACCTTTACCTTACAAGAACAGCGTCTGGCCGGGTGTATCGTATGGAGAGGCTCGACGGGGAGAACCATTTGGGGAATTAGGGTTATTCGCGAGGTGAAGGCGGGAACAACGGATAGGTCAGAAAAGGCAGAGTGGAACAAAGTCTAAAATTAAGTTTGCTGTCCCATGTTTGTCATGCACGTCCACCTAGCAGTAGTTTTGGAGCAGTTTGGTGCAGAGTTCATGACCTAATAATACTCTCAGGAGCATTATTGTACAATAGATCGGAGGAGGTCGTGATAACTTCCAAGCGAGAAGGGAATCGTACTACTTGGCTTACGTAACGGTATCCGTAGGAGTCCAAGAAACACCTGACACGCCGACGGGTAGTGGACATCGCAGCCACGTACTCAGTGTTTGGCTCAAGTTCGAATATGTATGTACTGCAACATCTTCCCACATCACGACACGCGCTGCGACTCGTCCGCTGACCCCATCTGCGTCTCTATCTTCTCGCTGCGCGATGCCTCCTGTCGAGTAACCCTCTCCTGCGGTGTTTTCAGCCATAATACTTGATTACCCAATTGTATTGTTGTAGTATTCTGGCTCAGTCAGTGTCTGTGTGTTCCATTCTTATCACTCGAAGGGGTCACTGAGAATGTAGCGCACGTTATCAAAGTTACTGGTTTCCTAGTTAGTAGCTAGCTACTGGTTTTGGAACACATACTCTGAGCACAAAGAAGCGATCACTTTTTCCTGAGTGATTTGCATTTTCGAACGCCACTGTTAGTAGAAAAGGATAATCCAAGACGTGCACCAAACTTATAGTAAGATGTTGGTTAGCTTTTGTTTACCCCGTCTCTTTGTTACTCCACGAAATGGCTTTCAAGCTTGATGTGAAAAAAGTACCAATGCAGCGGAGTGTCAAACTCTAGTTATCAGATGATGATAAAAAATACGTCTAGAAAAATTATAGTGATAGTTGTGTTCGCTAGGAAAATACTTGTTCAATAAATGAAGCACCATGGTAAAGAAAGGTCCAGAACCACTCCAAAGAAAATTCCTCCTCACAACCACTAGTCGCAATGGAGCGAATGTTTAGTGCTACACCATCAAAAATGGTGACATCGTGCCAAGCCACGATCAAGCCATTGTGATCTGCAACGCGTTTATTAATTGCGTAGAAGCCTTACATTGCTTTATGCTTTTAAGTTTACATTGAATAACCACAAATCACACCATCCTCGTGCACCGTTGGCGCGCGTAATACCACTGAAGAGTATCGGTATGTATGAATTGCGCAATGGTTTGTATCCTTTTCTACGGTTACTCCCATTACTGATTATCCTCCTTTGCAGGATGACGGACGGATTTCGGGAACAGTTTATCTAAAAAAAATATGTTGGTTGGAGATAGAATGATAATGCTTCCATTCGGAAGTGGTGTAGTGGCAAGTGGCGCGCTTACCACGCGAGCGGTCCGGGGATCAAATCCTGGGTCGTGAGTCGCCCGGGCCAACCAAGCCTTCCATCCCTCCGGGGTCGGTTAATTGGTACCAGACTTGTCTGGGAGGAAACACTGACTTGTACATCGGCTGGCCCCCGCAAGTCATTGTATAGGCCACATCGCATTCAAACGCCACTACGAATGTACAAATGGAAGTAGAATGCGTGCCGCATCCCAAAAAGGGATTGATCAACGGCAAATGCTTTATCCTTTATCCTTTATCCTTTAAAGTGTATACCTGGTAGTGAATCTTCGTCATGCTGTACATGCATCCACATCTTGAGTTTGTGAAAGTTGGCATTAATTTAACTTCTTGATTTTGCCTGTTTTTGTTGTTGTCAATTTCTCTGTTGTCATTACGAATTCGCTGTTTTTTACTTGGGGTCATCCACCCCGAAAAGGTTTCCCTCATATCAGCGCTCTACGCTCTTCTCACCGTTTAAGCATCTTAGTAACATCTTAGTAATC